TTTCTATGGGCCCTGCTTCCCGGCAGGGAGAAGCCGTTCCTTAGACACAGCCTGTCCCCGTCTCCGCATGACGCGCTCAGGACCGCCAGTCCCTGGGCCCCAGGCGGGAGGATGCCCAGGCGCTTTGCTGAGCTGGGAAAGCCTTGGCATTCTCGTCTGAGATGGGGCTAACGCGTCCTTGAGAACTGGCCGGGTTCTCGTGGGAAGGAGGGCGGGTCTCCAGACCTGGCCCCGCCGAGCGCAGTGAGCACAGCACCGCCCCGCTGTGAGCAAGGCCGGCTGCCTTCTCTCGCACCCGGTGGTGGTGTGCACGTGGGGAAATTGCGCCCACGTCCCCGCCCCCGACTTCCCTGACGCCCACCTGGAAGAACGTCTCCACGTGCTGTCGGGGCGCGTCTTCTTTGAGGACCGGGTATGTGCATTTTCCCATCATGTCGTAGATCGCTTTCATGATGTCGAGCATTTCCTGAACGGGGAAGGTGCACAGGTGAGGCCGCGCGGCGATGGAGAAGCCCGCCCCACCTCCCTCTCTCTCTCTCTCTCTCTCTCTACACACACACACACACACACACACACGGGCTCTGGCTGGTCCTTCCTGCTCCGTTTTCGAGAATTTTCATTTTTACTTTGATTCTTCGAGAGCTGCCCCGGAATTGTTCCAAAGGAAAAGCCATCCACTCTCTGCTTACAAGCAGCAGAATTAGAATGTGAGAGTCCATTCTGGAAGCCAGCAGGTGGCACAGTGGTTAAGGCGCTGGACTCCCACATGGCTTACCGCAGTTCGAGTCCTGGATCAGTAGCTTGAAACCCGTGCTGGGCACAAGTGCCTGTGTGCCCAAGATCCCAAGAGAAGAATGGAGGAAAAGGGATTATGGCTGGCCATACCCCCTGGGGGTGACGTAAATAAAAGTCTACTGGGGTTTTTGTTCGTTTTGATATTTTTTAATTTCCAGGGGGCACATGCACTCACCAGAGAGAGACCGAGGTAGTGGGGCCGGGGGGTCGCGGGGAGGGGGGCAAGGGGTGGTAGAGAGGGACGCCACCCCCAGTGAGATGTAGTAACACCTCAACACCTTCTCCATCTCCATCCTGACAGGATGTGGGGGTACACACATAGCCAGTGCATTTTTCAAGCTGTTGTGGCTGGGATTTGAACCATGGTCACCCATGTAGGACCTGACTTCCTTAACCACTGAACCACAGGGCCAGCCCCAAAGACTAGTGTTGGCCTTGTCATTTTCAGTCTTAGGGTAAAATTAATATCAGATTACTTAGACATTCTGATTTTAAAAGTATAGATTAAGTTAATACCGATGTCATATATATTTGCTTTTGAGAGTTTTTTTTTTTTCCCTTTCCAGAAGGTGTGCACTCACTGGAGACTCTGAGAGAGGACCACCGAGAAAGCAGCCGTCCGTAGGGAATGGCCACACTGCCATCCCTTCCCTGCCACCTCTCCCCTCGGGAATCTGGGCACGCACACACCTGCAGTGTTTTCTCAGGCCTCCAGGTCCGGACTCCAAGTGCACAGTCACCCTGTGGAATCCAGCCACTTCGACCACCATGCCACGGGCTGCCCCCCAATTACAAATGATGAAGTAGTGTTAAGTGTAAACGGTGACACCCTCTGAGAAGTGTGGGAGCAAGAGTAAGCCGAGTACATTTGCGTGCGACTGAGGAGATAGGAGCTCGAGGACCCGAAGGAACTGACTGCCTGTGGCTTCCGGGCACGGAATGTGTGTGGAGTACCGAGTACACCAGAACGAGCCTTCGGGGTGAGCTGTGTGCACAGACACTGCTGAGGTCTTCATTCTGACCCACGCGGACGCGCGTTCTGGCTCCATGCGTCCTCTGCTCGAGAAACACAAATGAAGCCAGGCCCGCTCACAGGCTGGAGCCCTGGCAGGTGCTCTCTCCCTGTCTGATGCACCAGGTTCATGCCGTCGGCCTGTGCTCCTTTTCTCTGTGTGGCTCCTTTCTCAAAACTCACCTGCAGGGAGGGCTAGTGAGGCAGAGGCAGGCCACGTGACCAGGGAGCGCACCAGGGTTCTGGCGACATGGCCCTTTAACCCACTTATGCTCTCCTTTCACCCCAGCCCTCCTCACGTTCATGTGTTTGAAGTTGGTTTCATAAACTATGTGGGGTGAGCATCTGATTTTGCCTGTGAGCCTTTTTTTCCCGGGGGGCAGGGGTAGACTGCGTGGTTATGTTTGGAGACCATACCATTGCATCAGGTCATTGCTATGAAATACAGGTCGCAGAACAATCTCTGTGACTGTAAAGTTGCCTGTTTCCACTTTGATCAAATTGTTTCAGGCCAGATATTCTAACATGGTTTGGAGACATTTTCTTCCCATCCGATTCCAACCCAGTCTTTATTTTGTTCACAGCACTTGTTAAAATGACACTAAGAAACAAGGGAAAGTGAGAAAGCAAGCTGCCAGGCCCAGGACTCAAATTGTAGTTGGCCGTGTGGGAATTCAGCACCGCAACCACAAGTCCCTGCTGCCCCCCAAAGGCGTAATCTTTATATATATTTATTTTGCAGGGTCACCAAAACCTCCGGATTTTTTTTTCTAGATTTTTTTTTTTTATGAGACTACTTCTCTCTTGAGGCCAGCAGATGGCGTAGTAGTTAAGGTGCTGGATTCCCATGTGGCCATCTGTGATTTGAGTCCCAGACCCAGTGGCTTGAAACACGTGCCAGGGGTGTGTGCATGCCCAAAACCCCAAGAGGAGAATGGAGGAGAAAGGACTGTGGCGTGGCCATCCCCCAAGGGGTGGTTTCTTGATTTCTCTCTCTCCGTCTCTGTCTCTGCTGAGGACACGTGCCTGATAGCAAAAATCTCTTTTTAAAAAAGAATACTTCTATCTCTTACCACCACAAAAAATATTTTGGATTTTCTGAAAAGAGACTTTGGAATTAGTCATTATAATGTTTGACATTTTTAAGTTCAGAAATAAACGGCCCAGAGGAGAGCCGTGCTGGGCGGATCCCTTACTTCTTTAGTGATGTAGCCGTCTTTGTTTATGTCGTACAGATTAAAGGCCCAGTTGAGCTTCTCTTGTACTGTCCCTCGGAGCAGAATGGAAAGTCCCTTGATGAAGTCCTAAAATACATAAACAAGACAATTCGATAGGACATTTCTAAACATGTAAGACACAAACTCTGATGAAATTCTCACGTGACAGAATCAAAGGTTACGGCCCTCAGGCTTGAACCTTTTATTTAGCAAGATGATTTTTTGTTTATGTCGTACAGATTAAAGGCCCAGTTGAGCTTCTCTTGTACTGTCCCTCGGAGCAGAATGGAAAGTCCCTTGATGAAGTCCTAAAATACATAAACAAGACAATTCGACAGGACATTTCTAAACATGTAAGACACAAACTGATAAAATTCTCACGTGGCAGAATCAAAGGTTATAGCCCTCAGGTTTGAACCCTTTATTTAGCGAGATGATTTATGTGTTGAGACTGTCTCTCAGAGCTCGTTGTGGGCACAAACCACTTGTTAGTTGTAACCATTCTCATCTAGTTGGACACTGACAAGCCACCTGTGGTCTTGGAAATTCTATCAGGGCAGGCACCAAACGGGGCGATGCTTGGGTATAAATGGCATTGGCTCCCACTGCAAGTGCATATGATTTTCTGAGAACAACCTGGTAACACTACTTTTTCCAACATCCAAGCCACACATAACACATTTCCTGTGAAAAACGTCTGCTAACAAGAAATGGGCCCTAGAGCAGAAGTCTCCCTAAAGTAATAATGAAGGATGAGGTGCAGAACTAGCCTTCACAGTGCTGCCTAGTCTTGGCTAGACTGTGTTCGAAGACGAGCTTACTGTGCACTGGGATGGACAGGGTCACTGTGCATTGGCCTTGTTAGAAGACCTCCCAAGTAGTAACTGCTGTGTCTAAGAGCTGTATGTGGTGCCAGCACGGAGCCAAGACTTCCTTGACATTGCCACTCTTTCTTCTTTAACTCCTGCATCACCCCATGAGATCACTTGGGCTGCTGATGTGTTCCAGGTATGTACGCTAAGGCTCGGGGGTTGCAATACTCAGCCCAGGAACTCACAGCTGCAAGGTGGCGCAGTGGAAATTAGATCCAGTCATATCGGGATCCAGGGCTCCTCCGGTCTTACTCATTCTGCCTATGGGCTTACAGAAGTCAAGTGGGGACTGCGTTCTCTCTTGGCCATCGAATCGGGATGGGCTCTGCTTTACCTTCCACTGTGCTGTAGCTCTTCAAACTGTGCTCATCCCTACCGTTCTCTTTTGGAGAGATTTTCCAGGTAGCTACTCAGTTTGGAAAGTAACTGCAATAACCTATCACTAAATGGGATTTTTTAAAAAAGGTTTTTGCCATAGGGTGTGTGTGTGTGTGCTTGCCGGAGACAGAAGAGAGACAGTGAGAGGGGAAGTGAGAAATCACCCCTTGGGGGGAGGGCCACAGTGCAATCCCTCCTCCATTGTCCCCCTGGGATTTTGGGCATGCACGCACATGTGCCCAGAGTGATTCCCAAGCTACCAGATCTGGGACTTGAACTGCAGTCAGCTGTGTGGGGGCCTAGCACCTTAATCTCTACAGCACCTGTTGGCCCCTAAGTGTGATTTTTATTTGATTCAACATTTATTAATTTAGCCATTAGACTGCCTTCACAAGGGAAGGCATTTTATCAACACTCATATCTACACAGCCATTACAACTCATTTTCCAAATGATAATCATACTGATCATAATTACCAATATTTTACATAAATATTACGGAAGAATGTTACGCATGGTCCATATGATTAACACCAGACTAAACTTACATGTAGAACTGAATATAATGTACTATAGGAAGTTGGTGCTATTATAATTTTCCCATTAAAAAGACTAAAATCTCTTTCAGGGCCTCTAAAGTCGAATGACGGAAATTGTCTAGGGCTTACCTCGAAGCTCACAGCTCCGTTGTGGTCTGTATCGAATGCGTTGAACAGGAAGTGTGCATACGTCGTGGAATCTGAAACGGTGAAGACAGACTATGGTTACACCCGTGTTCGGCTGTCCTACGTGAGACCTGGCTGCAGGTCCTGCTGCCCCCCTTTCGGGAGAGGACGAATTTGAGACTTCGAAGAACCAGCTGCCTACAGAGAAGCTGTTGCTGACCAGACATGTTCGTGACGTTCTGGCTAGAATGTCCTGAACACTTGAGAATTTGGGTCATGAGACCAGTACTGGACCGAGTAATGGTGGGTGTGAGGATGAAGAGACACGGGTCTGCAAATGGCTTAGAGCTTGCCAGAGGCAATCTTTATAGCAAAATCATAAGTGTTCTAATAAGACGAAGATGACTTGCTGCTGTTAGTGTCCTTGTCCTCATTAGTATTTTCATCCTTTGAAACTCAGATAAGAATTTTGGACCCCAGAGGTTAAGACTCCTGCCCAAAGGCTTGCAGTCAGTAAGGAGTACATCTGGGACTTGAGCTCAGGTCTTTCTGGCTCTGAGACCAGAGACCAGCCAACAGCCAGTAAGCTGGCTGACAGACTTAGACGTGAGCATAAACGTCACTTAGTATCAGAAGCAGAGCAACTACTAAGACTTGGGAAGTTTCTGTGGCCACACTGGAAGGGGACTGTGTGGTCCCAGAATTCCCAGGCACATGCAGCTGCGTGCAGCAGATACCCCGACTTGTCTGGGTCCTGGGTGGGATTCGGGTCCTGGGTACCGGTGGACGGGTAGAGATGACTCTGGACCCCGAAGTCGTGCAGCCCTGACTCGCTCTGGAATCAACTGCTTCCTCTTAGTTGCACCTGGCAGGGTTTCCGTCTCACTGCCCTCCCGTCTTCTGCTAATCCTTTGTCTCGTTTCCCTCTTGCTTTCTGCCTTTCATTTCTAAAGTCTATATGTTTTCTTTACTTAGCGAGCCCAGCTTACATTTTGAAGTGCTTTAGGGCCTGGCCCTTGATCAAATTTACATGATTATCTTCAACGCTTCACCTCATGGGCTTTAGTCTTTTATCTTAACCTTTTTGAATCTTTTCAGAAAGAATCGCAACCTTTCAGTTCATTGGCTCCAGCCTTTTATTTTTGGTTTAAAGTCTCTTCTATTTCTATTTTATAATTTTGAGTCTTTATTTTTACTGGGATTTAACGTACCTTTTGTTCACTGTCTACTTCATACGTTGCTTTTAAAAGTCTGTCAAGAAACTAAGAGGGACAGGAGTAGAGAATTGTCCCCCCCATAAGAGAGGCCAGACTCATCTCAACCTCTCTCCCAGGTCCGGGTCTCAGGGCCCACGGCCGAGGTGTGGCGCATGCTCCCGGATACTTCACTGTGGGCACCGCTGAGGGCCACCCATCCCCAGGAGGATTTCGCACTCAGTTCTGCAAGCAATGATGGCATGTTTCCTCTCGTACCTTCACATATAATATAAGGGACCACTTGTTCCTCTTTATTTATTTATTTATTTATGTGGCCATAGGGCATGTTCACTCACTGGAGAGAGGCAGAGAGAGGGGAAGTGAGAAATGACCCCCCAGGGAGGATGACTACACTGCAATCCCTTGGGATTTGAAGCATGTGTGCACAGGTGCCTGGCATGAATGCCCATCCTCTGGGGCCAGGACTCAAACTGGTCGGCCGTGTGGGAGTCCAGTGCCTTAACCACTACATCACCTGCTGGCCCCCTCCCCCAACTTGTTTTAATCCTGAGAGAGCGCCTCCATTGTGCTGCCTCCCGCCCTGCTACTGGCCTACTTATGTCCACAACCTGCGCTCACCGCGCTGCACTGAAACCCCTTCCCTCGCACTTCACATCACGCTGAGCATCTGGACCACACCGCTGGCTGGGACGGAATCCCATTCCATGCCTTTGACTCCTGCTCCCTGACCGCCTCCCACTCTGTAGGTTGAGTGACACATGGGAGTGGGGCATCTGTTTGGTGATTGAAAGGAAAACTTGAAGATAATATAGGAAATGAGTCTTTTGGGACCGGTAGGTGGCGTGGTGGTTAAGGACACTGGATTCCCACATGGCCGACAGTGCTTCCAGCCCCTGGGGGGTGATTTCTCGCTTTTCCTTTCTCTCTCTCTCTCTCTCTCTCTGTTGCTCTGTCTCTCTATAGTCAAGTTAAAGAATAACAATAATAAATAAAGTTAAGTGAACAAAATCATATATAAAAAAAGAAAGTATACCTTCCTGTCCGTCTCTAACGTGTAGTGCCATCATTATGCTACCCTTGTGTTTTCTTTCCAGTTTAAATAGTATGCAGAGTGGCTTTAGTTTTCTCAAACGAGAAGGTCACAGCAAAGAGTTTTATTAAAAGGAAGGGGGACAGCTGAAAGCGTACGCGGTGAGGCTACAGAAAAATCTAGGTTATAACCCAGATATGCCACTTAGTCGGCATGCGGCCCTGAGCCAGGCGTTCAACTTCTCTAAGCCCCAGATTCCATATCTACAAATTGAGGATAATTACTCTTGTCCTCGTTTTTAAAGAATCAAGTGACACCTGTAATGCACGTGAGAGAGATATGCCACTTAGTCGGCATGCGGCCCTGAGCCAGGCGTTCAACTTCTCTAAGCCCCAGATTCCATATCTACAAATTGAGGATAATTACTCTTGTCCTCGTTTTTAAAGAAGAATCAAGTGACACCTGTAATGCATGTGAGAGAGCTTGTGCCATTTCGAGGACCACCCTCAGAGAGTCGGGCACTTAATGGCCATAGTACAAGGCACACAGTAAGACTTGAATTAACTGAAGTCATCTCTTGGATATTTGATCATTTGTAAATAGCTTACTCTATGGTGGATTGAAAATGGTATGCATTTGCATGCTATGTATGAATTCTTTTGCCTACAGATGAAACCCATAGCATCATGCCATAAAAAGACCAAATTCAAGGTTGCAAGCATCATTCTAACCCTGAGAGGATGTTAACAAGTCCACATTTGCACTCACCTCCCTGTGGAAAGAACTGCGAGTAAATCTCTTTGAAGGTTTCTTCATTAACAACACCACTGGGGCACTCCTAGAGAAAGTGGCAGAGAAGCAATATGAGCCAAGTGTTCATAAAACTGACTTTTTGCACATTTTGAAATAGAACTGTCCATGGCGCAGAGCTGGCACCAAGAAATCTAGCCACCCACCCATCATTACAAAGAGAATACGAGCACACGATCAACTTCTCTTTGTTCCAGTTCTCACATCATGAAAAAAAATGGCAGATGTAAATATCTTGGCGCACAGAGTAGCGAAGCAGGCCTGACATGTTAAAAAACACTGCTGCTTTTAAGAACACATGTGTTCATTATTAATGAGGCAAGAGGAAATTACATTTTTGTCATGCAGCAAGGATATCAAGAAGTGCTCATAATGGAGTTTTGTTGGATCTTGGGTTTCTGGTTTTTTTTTTTTTTTTCAAGTTTTTTTCTGAACCCACATAAACTTCAGGGCAGGAAGAAAGTTGATTGTTCCAGTAAGGTCTAAGATTGTTCAAGAAGCTTCAAGCACAAAAAGTTACTAACACCTACACATAGGCTGTTCAAGAAGACACAATGACAAGGTTTTGTAACCACTGACCTGGGTGAAGTCAGACCTGGATTTTTTTTAAAAGAATTATTTTATTTAACTTTATTATTATTATTATTATTTTCCAGTTTGATCAGAGAGAGAGAGAGAGAGAAAGTGAGAAAGCAAGCCACCAGGTCCGAGACTTGAACCGTAGTCGGCCATGTGGGAGTCCAGCACCATCCACTTGCCAGCCCCAGACCTGGATGTTTTGTACTCCTGGAGAGGAGAGTCTGCCCAGAAACAGGCCTGAGATGACTGAGTTACCACCTTTGTTCTATGCATGGAGTCCTTGAAATGCGGTCGATGGTGCTTTGGAAACTGCATGCATGTAGTACTACTGCCCTGGAGGGGCCATAAGGGGAGGCTAACCCTGTGAGACTGGATTTGGCATTTTCTGTAAAAGGACTTGAAATGTAAAATGTGAGAAGAGGCCACCTTTGGTGCAGAAAATGAGGACTATGGGAGTGAATCTGAGACCTTTGCTCTCTGGAGTTACAAGAACAAACCATGGTCAGCCATGTGGGAATTCAGTGCCCTCACCACCATGCCCCTGCTGGCCCTCATTTACTGTGATTTTTACATTTCTCTTAGCCCTGACAATCACTTTGTCTTCACTAATAAGCTCACTGGATTCGCTTGCTGGTTCTTTATTCCAATGATCCAGATACTCAGCTGCACCATGCTTCATTTGCATAATCTTCTATTTTCTCAGTCATTGTTTAGAAAAGTAGAACCTTTGGTACAAAAACAATTTTAGTGAGCAGTCTCAAGGTGAATTTGTACTTATGAAGGTTGCCTATGTATTTTTGTCCTATCTGACCAACATAAAAAAAAAAAAAATGAAACAAAACCTAGTGACTTAGGTAGCCAACACATCTCCACTCACAGAGCGGAACCAGACATGCTGAGTGGTAAGGTCTTAGTCCTTAGCAAGCCAGTGAGGATGCT